CCAACCATTTCCTGCTTCCTAGCTAATCTAAATCTCCCGGCACAGCAGAACAGATGATGGTCAGAAAAAGGAAAAATAGTAATTTAGCAGGCAAGTTTACCAGATAAGGAGTGAGTGGGCAGGGAGGGTTCCCACGGGCCATGTGGGGCGGCGCAGCCTTGTGTTTCTGCACAGCCTGGATTAATTGCTTTGTGGGGGTGTCCTAAGGGTGAGATTTCTCTGCGGCCCACCAAAATTTTCTCATGGCCAACCAGTGGGCTGAGACCCCCCCGGTTGGCGACTGCTGCTCTGGAACACATCCTTTTATTATCCTAGTATTTCCCAAATTTACTTTATTTAACTGTACAGGTAAAAAACATGAGATTGATCCAAACAAAACAAATTCCTTTAATAGTAGCTAAAAGGGGGAAAAAACCTGAAGTATTAAATAGATGTGACTTATCTCTACTTGCTTAGTTATAAAGAAATCCATACTAGATTTCCATAACATTCTATCTTTTTCATTTCCTTATTTTGTTTACCAAATGAAAATTAAATTGCAACAAACAATCTAAATAACATTTCTTTTTTTCCATCTTTTGTGATTAGAGCCACACTTTGTACTAAACGATTATATAGTTTGCTTGATTTTGATTAACATAGCATGCCTTAGCAAAGTGTGGTTGTTCAACAATTATTGGCTAAATAATTGACAGGCTCTAACAGATGAGCACAATTCAAAGCACACTATGTCTCCTTGAATGGTGACAACAGACCTACAGCCTGGCTCTTCCGGTTTGTCGGCTTCGCGAGCGGCAGGGATTTGCAATCTTGCGCGATCCCTGCCGCGCTAGCCGCTTTGATGCCTCCGATCCATCGATCTGGAGGCTAGGGCTGCCATGAAGAGGCAGCCCAAAATAGGAGGGACCCCTTCGCAGACCCCTTCCCCACCCGGCTTAACCCTCTTTCTCAAGGCGGTGGAGCGGCAGTCTGTAATGGCCGCCACAAAGAAGCTGACAGCTGGACAAGATCGTGCTGGAGGAAGAGAAAGTGCTGAAGCGAAAGTTTCTTGGCTGAGATACAAGTAAGATACAAGTAATACAAGTAATATCCTGAAAATTCGGATTTTTTGAAAGATACTTGAATTATCTTGGTTGTTTTAAAAAGAAGAAGAAGAGAAAAAAGAAGAAGAAAAGGTTTATAATGGTTTAAGACGGTGTGAGAGAAACTTTTTTGCTTTTTAGAAATGGCGTTTGCTACCCCAAAAACTTTAACCTTAGACTGTCTACTATTGACCTCACCCCTTTCCTAAGAGGTCTGTAGGGGGCGTGCATAAGCGCACCAACGTGCCTACCGTCCCTGTCCTATTGTTTCTCTTATTCTTTTATTTTTCTTATATGTACCCATTTCATATATTCACAGCTATGTATACACTTGTACTTATTATCTTGTAAACAATTGACAAATCAAATAAATAAATAAAATAAATAAAATGGAGGATACAGAAGAAGAAGAAGAAGAAGAAGAAGAAGAAGAAGAAGAAGAAGAAG